TTTCAACTTAGTATAGGTCCTTGCCTTCAAAATCAAGATGAGACCAAAAGGTATGCAAATGCAGTGTAACAAACAAGCCTAGACAATTAAAAAACAAACAAAAAACCTGAAACAATAGGACTAACATTAATAGCAAAGCAATTTAGTGAAGAAAGAGGTTATGAGAGTGAGACACTCTCAAACCTCCTCTTTCTTTTTATGTTAAGTTCCGGGATACATGTGCAGGATGTGCAGGTTTGTTACACAGGTAAACGTGTGCCATGGTGGTTTGCTGCACCTATCAACCCATCCCCTAGGTATTACGCCAGCATGCATTAGCTCTTTTTCCTGATGCTCTCTCCCCATTGCCGCTCCTGCCCCCAAGCACCAGTGTGTGTTATTCCCCTCCCTGTGTCCATGTATTCTCATTGTTCAGCTCCCACTTAAAAGTGAGAACATGCGGTCAAACTTTCTGTTTCATTTGGACCTCACTACAATTCTGTAATAGAGGCAGGGGAAGTGATCAAGGCATTCAATGAACTGGAAAAAGCAAAGCACAGATGGGTTTCAGCTCCATTACAGCTGCTATAAAATGAAATGATAGGATTAAGAAAATGTTAAAGTTTCTTTTAAGGCTGCAATTCTATTATTCTTTGGCTTTCCTAAAGTAAGCCTACTAGTTAATGTGAGATCTGATACCAGAACTCACGTTTCTTGATTCTCAGCTCAGGACTTTGTGCTAGACTGGGAAGTGTTGGGACATAAGAGAACCTCAAAATGAAAATCCCAGCTGGGCAGAAATGCCCTCCTTCCTTTTCTACTGGCAGTGTTTTAATACAAGCTTCAAATGTTAATAGAACAGCTTTGGCAATGTTTGCTCAAACATTCTCAGGCCTGAATAATGATTTCCATCTTCACAAATAAGTACTTTCATTGTTGAAACTGCACCCAGTTCCTGCATAATTACTGCTGCTTGATCAGTTGAAACTCTTCCATACTTAAGCCTTTCCTCGTGCCAGAAAAACCACAGCTTTCCACCTCTTAGACTTACTTCATTTCTTTTGAGTTGTTTCCTCCATTATTACAAAAAGCCAAACATGCTTTCCAAGATAAATATTTACTCTCAGAGTTCCACTCTTCTTTCAAAAGACAAAATAGACACCTTAGCAGAAGAGCAAATGACACATGTAGAATACTAACCATGGAAGCCACATATTTCTATTTGTGGGCACATAAGTGCATATATGCCTCTGGTGTGCTTTATGGTTGACTTCTTTAGACTCTAATTTGATCTGAAGTCCAAAGTGGCCTCAGCTCCCTGAAGACACTGGGGCCTTATTTTGTTCCACGAGACAATGCCATGGCAATGTGGTGTTTGCCTGGTTACAAGGACTTCCACAGAGGCCACATATTCCTGGCAAGATGTTAGCAGGTGCTGAATTTGAAATAACTATAGCATCTCTACAATTTGATTCTGCATGCTTTTATTCTATGAATCTGGTTATATATAGTAAATCCCTATTATGTGAATAAGAGGGAACTATACTTGACTGTTTAGAATGTTAGATAAATTACATTCGCAATAACAGGTTGCTTTTATATGTGCCCAGTCATCTTTTTAACTCATTTCCTGTTTAGAAAAAAAAACACTGCATCTTGCTGCTATGCTCATTTAATTTCACATAAACATGCTGTTTGAGGCTGAAGCAAATCTGACTGATTTTCAGTATGAAAATAAAATATAAAAACTGTTCTTGAAGTTATTTCTTTCTTTTTTTTTTTTTTTTTTGAGACAGAATCTCGCTCTGTCGCCTAGGCTGGAGTGCAGTGGCCGGATCTCAGCTCACTGCAAACTCCGCCTCCTGGGTTTATGCCATTCTCCTGCCTCAGCCTCCCAAGTAGCTGGGACTACAGGCGCCCACCACCTCGCCCGGCTAGTTTTTTGTATTTTTTTAGTAGAGACGGGGTTTGACCATGTTAGCCAGGATGGTCTCGATCTCGTGATCCTCCCGTCTTGGCCTCCCAAAGTGCTGAAGTTATTTCTAAATAGAACTTGTCTCTAATCCTAATGCAACAGAAATGTAGATGTTATAAGGATTAGAGACAAGAGTATTCTCAGGGCAAATGGGAAATGGGTTAAAAATCTACAACTTCATCATATTTATTAGATTATAAGAACCTTGATGTGTGGAACTTGATCTTATTGCTCTCATCTGGCACCTAGACTAGAAATTGGTACAGAAGAGCTACTACATTGATATGTGATTCACATAGGTGTCAAGAGTACTATGACATACAACAGCAGATTCTGTGCCATGGAAATACTAGAGGCCTCCAAGGTAGTGTTTGGGATTCAGGTTCCTTTACTTACAAACTTTGCAACCTGACCAAGTCATTAATTTCTTCCTCTCTAAAGTTGTGATATAATAACATCCTCAAAGTGTTACCGTGAAGAATTATTGTGAGGTTAAATGAAATTATGCGTAGATGTGTCTAGCATAGTACTTGACGCATAATAGGGGCTCAATTTGTTAAATCTGAACTTGTTGAATTAAAAAGAACATACTGAAGAATGGGCATGAGAAGTTTCATGAGGATGAAAGTGCAATTGAAAGAAGTAAAGGAGAATGTGATTTTGTAGTCTGCATGAAGGAGACTGGCAATATCTCGGAGGAAAATGAAGACTGAAAGAAAAAGAAAAGAAGAGGGCAACCTTGAGTTCCAATGAGGGGTCGCAGGAATTTTAAGAAGTCTAGGAATTTTCATGCTCGGTTAAACCATTTTCTGTAGGACAAATTAATAGACTAATACTTATGAAAGTATATGAATGCTATTTTGATTAATAAGCAGAATACATTTAGAAGTACTGTATTTCTGAATCTGTGTTAGCTTTTTGTCATTATATATTTTTTAATCAAAGGGCGCCAAAAAGTAAAACTACTATTTTACAAGGATTCAGGTTTTGATGTTCAAAATGAGTTGTAATACTGGGTTGGAAACCACTAGTTTAGACTGATAACAATTGAGGGACTGACCATAAAACCCAGTATAAGACCTGTCATGCTGGCCCAGGAAAATCCTTGGATCAAGTTATGAGAGTCAGTGTGCTTCCCAATAGATCCAATAATAATTTTATAATAACATGCACAAATTCTACGTTAACTTTACATATTTATATAGGAAATTTAAAAATTCTCCCATACCAGCAATGTGAAAACGGTGTCATATCAATTACTGTAACACATAGCAAACACACACAGAGCCACATGTGGAACTGAGACCAAAAAGAGTTTTTAAGACAGAGAAAAAATGGAAACTTCAGGCAAACTGTGGTCTAAGAGCCAAATAATTAGAAAATAGAGATGTTGAAAAGTGCAGAATTCTGGGAAAAAAAAAATCTCTCTTCAAAGCGGATGATTCTCTGTGTCTCTGTCTTATACAGACATAGCTCAGCTAGTTCCTCTGAGCTAAAACATTGTTTATTTTGCACAGGTTCTAGTAAGTCACAGTGGGAGTTTCTGGTCTTACAGTTAGAGCAGACATTTGGGAGTCAAAAGCTATGGGCTCTATTATCATGTATAATGCTGTTACTGACACTCTTTTCTCCATTCCCTTAGTTTAATCCATTAGTTAGATATGGAAAAGAATTGCTGCCTCTCAAAATGTTAAGCTTCTTTAATGATGTATTTGTATGCTACCAGGGAGGGAGTAGTGCTCATAAATTATAGGGGAATGTTAACATTAATTTGTTTCCTGTTGTTCAGCTATATATTAATTTACTATTAAGTGTAGGGTTGGGAGTAAATGTCAGGAATATAGCGCTCTGCAAGGATGATTGATAGATAGCAGAGTCCACAATTATTCTGCTAGTCATAGGTGGTCCAAGAACTTCAGGGCCAAGAATAAATGGACATTTGTAGGAGGGTCACTTGAACTCCAAAGGAACTAGATGGGAGGCTAAGGAAAAGGAGATGAAGTCAAGGAGATGAAGTCAAAGACTGGCTGCATTTGCCATAAGAAAATACAAAACATACCCAATACGTAACTTAGGCAAAGTCAGCATTGAGACTGTCTTCATTACGTCTTCTTTCTTCGTTGCCTCAAATGCTTATTGAAATCTTACTATCTCTCAAGCTTTGTGCTGGGTTTTAGATTACAAGACTGAATAAGATAGATATGACCTCCTTCCTCCTGGACCTGACAATTGTTCCTTCAAATCACTCCCACACATTCATTGCCCGGGCACTGGAGACTAGATCCCATGGCCAGACCAAACCCCAAAGGTGGGTACTGGAGCGTCCTTAACTTGGGACAGATATTCACACTGCAAAGGTTTGAAGAAGCAGGAGCTCTCGAAAGGTAGGACTGATCTGTAGCTCTGTAAGACAAGGGACCAATGCTTTTAAATGGGATTTGCTCATGAGGGTACCTCTTGAGAATAAGTTGACTTTTTTCTTATTTTCTCTTGGACTATGGTTACCAGTATATTTAGCCAAGTGTTTTTGTTATTGTTTCTATTTTGTTTTCATTTTTAATTTCCCTCATACAATAGAGTATCTACCACCAACTCTTCAGAAAAATCTAATGCATCAGGATAGCTTTACCTGTTACCATTGCAAGTAATAAATGTATGAAATTTTTAAAAACAGTGTGGCCTGCCTCACATTCACTCCTCTGCTGAAACCCATGCAGGACTTTGAGGAGGCGGTACCCAGGTATTCTAGGAGGCAGCCAGCAGTAAGGGAGGCTTTTCCTTGATGGAGTTTGGAAAGAAGAGGAGACACAGGCAATGCATGAAAAACAACTTCCAGAAGCCTGAGAGGCAAAACCTTCCTTCTCCTAAAAGTCTAGAGAAATTAACCTTTAAGAGCATGTTTGTAGGAAGGCAGATGCTCGCCTTACATCTGCTAATTAAAAGGGGAAATCTATGGAGGCTCAGTGAAAGGTGTATTGAGAAGAAGGGTGGAAACTCGAGAAAAGCAAAAAAAGTGTGAAATAGATGAGGGGGAGGATGGGACAGAGGATTGAGGAAGAAACATATACTGTGTTCCAAGTTCAGTTAAGATGGTTTAGTGTCCATTTGGTTGTCTTATTTTTTCCAGCAGATTATCTGAAGATTTAGAAATGGGCAACAGTAAGGTTCATCTAGCTCTGGTATTTTGCCAGGCAGGTACAACAGAAAAGCAAGATAGGAAAGATAAGGGTATTGGAAAGAAGGAGGAAGGGATGGGCCATAGAATGTCAATCAGGAGAGGAAGAAATGAAGATAGTCAGGAACTGAGAGGAAGATACAAAGTAAAGAATCTTTGAATTGGAAGATCTCAATGAGGAAAAAGAGTGATAGGTTGAAAGTCATTTGATTAAAGGTTATGCTGAGAGAGTCTGACGTTTGAAAAAATGTTTTTGGAGCTGAAGCATTTCCAGAAAATGACATGTTCCAGGGTGTGTCTATGGGAATGACTGGCTGACGTGGAGGAGGTCCATGGAAGTTAGTAAGTCAAGGCAGTAAGTGACCAGAGTATCAAATAAGGATATGATGTCATCCTGAAAATGGGTGGATGTTGGACAGACAGGAAGACTCTGAGGGTGTCAAAAGCAGGGTTGAAGAGAGGTCAGTACCCAACAGCAAGCAGAAGGTGTTGAACGGCAGTATTGCTCAGTGGAACGATTTCCACAGAAGCTGGGAGACTTTATATGAGAGGGAAGATGAGAAATAATCTGAAACTGACGGAGTGGAAAAAGCATAAAGGTTTCATTTACTAATAGAAATCACAGAACTGGTAAGGCTGGATTGATATTTTTTAACCATTTCTTTTATTTTAAATGGAATTTAAATGAAATTTAAATTTTAAATGGAAAATCAACTATAATCTGGTAAATGGCATGTAGTTTGTTACCTTGCTTGCATATTTTGTCTTATTTTCTGTGCCTTGAGTTTGTGTTAGTCTTAGGCTCTACGTCATTCTTCTCTGTGCCCGGTAGAATGGTTTCTTTGTACCGCCCTGCAATATATTTAATATTATGATGGCACATATTATGTACCATGCCCAGATCCTATGACTCACGACAGGAAAGATTAAGAGACATGAATCATTCATTTATAGTTAAGTGACATGTTGTTTTATTTATTTTATTATAAGCCCATAAGATGATAGCTGTTATGTACACAATCCCTAGACCAAGACTGCTAATCAAAGGAAAGGGAACTAAACTAAATCTCTGTTCTTGGCAGCGTCACTCATTGTCCATTCATTCACAGGTATATTGACTCTATCTTATATGTCATGCACTGTATTAGTTGGTAGAGAGGTAATATGACCGTTCCTAATCTTTGTCCTTGAGAAGCCATGGTCTAGTGGCAAAAACAAATAATTATAGATCTTTGTTAAATGTTGTAATAGAATATTGTTCAAGGTGTGTGGGAAGGTTACGGAAGACTTGCTGAAGCTGATAATAGTTAATCTGCATCCTGAAGTAAAATGAGTTAGGCGGGTATGTAAAGAAATCACATCTTAGGTAAAGGGCAAAGCAGCTGAGGTGGAAGGGCTGGAGCCTAGACAAGCAATGCACGTCACATTCTGGAAGCAGCAGGCAGACTGCCAGTTTGCACCCTCCACACATCATATCTGCTTATCTGGAAATTACACTGGACTTTGTGGATCCTTCCCATCAGAAAAGCCTTCACTAAGAAACACTGAAACATATTCAGATTTCAGCTGCTGAATTAAAACTACTGACATTTCTCAAAGAATCTGATTTGTCCATTAAGTACAAGCTGATATCATCACAGAAATTTTTTATCTTGGGAGCACCTTTTGGAAACTGAGACTCCAGTTACATATTTGAAATGGTGAAAACCTTCTTTGTCAAACAGCACTTCAATTAGAAGCAAAACTATTAGTGTTTTGTGCGCACATTGGGCACCTGTGATCCTTCAGGATTGGCTGCTCTTGAGAAAGAAAACTCCCAACGGGCTACCGCACCCTACTACTTTATCCATGGGGAAGCAGCAGTATCAAATGGCCAATGGTCCTAGTTCCTGGCACAAAGTAGAAGCATGATAAACATTAGTGATTAAACATATTAAACATAGAAAACATATAAAATTAGTGATTAAAAATTAGTCTAAATCTATGTCCTACCAGGTGGATTGTTATCTCCAGCAAACCCTGGGCCTTTAATTCACTTTTCATCAAGGAATTTTGTTAAGAAACATGAGTCAAATCTGAATATTTTTAAAAATATAAATTACAAGTTAATTGGCTTTGCAAAAGACAAATGTTGATGTACTTTGTTGCATTTTAGGTAGCATTTTGGTTAAGAAGAGCCCCTTCTTTAAGCCTTTTAAGAGGAAAAAGAAGACTCATAGTTTGCCTTATTTGCTAGGTATTTCTATCCCGGGGCAAAGAAGATTTTTCAACATGTACCTCTGTTCTCTGTTTTGACATATCCAGTTTTTTCAAAGTGCCTAACCAGATGCTAAATTCATACTGGCTGATAAAGGAGTCTCTGTTCTTAAGATGATAATAGAGAGCATTTCATGAAATGGTTAAGCAGTAACACATATACATAGTATATGTGTGTATATATATATAGTGACTTCTATTGAAAAAATGATGTGACTATTCATATTTATTTCCACTCTTTCTCAAAATGCCACTAAAATGACAATGTCATTTTAACTAAAATTAAAAATAATTTTTTAAAGGCATAAACACACAAAAAAACAAATGGCAGAGGAGATGCAGAAAGGTGTTTGAATTGTTACTGATTTAGTAGAACATAGAAAGCTAAAATCTTCCTGCCTATAGCCAGTCTGTTTATGCTACAGAACCCCAGAAAGGCTCAGAAATTAGAGGCACAAAGAACCTCTGGAGATGAGGAATTAAACTGAAAATAGGAGAATCAGCTGAAAGTCTATATAAAGTTGACAGACCTGAAGGACCCTTCTCATATGCAGAGCATTTAGGAGACTATTATCATGCTTTTACTTTGATCCAGGAACTAGGACCATTGGCCATTTGATACCACTGCTTCCCTTATGGATAAAGTAGTGGCGTGGGGTGTGGTGACCCACAGGGAGTTTTCTTTCTTGAGAGCAGCCAATCCTGAAGGATCACAGCTGCTCAATGTGTGTGCACAAAGCACTAATGGTTTTGCTTCTAATTGAAGTGCTGTCTGACAAAGAAGGTTTTCGCCACCATTTCTCCTACCCAGAGAGGAGGCAGGGGGCATTAAATGGAAAAATCAAAACCAGAGTAGTTCTCAACTCTAGGAAAACTGACAGTGAAAGAAGAAGGGTAGGAAAGGCAAACATTGAATGGTGAGACCTGTAACTCCCTGGTGAGACTAAGATCCCAGAATATTGGTAGCCAGGCTTAGACCTCTCTGTTCCACTCCAGGTGAGACTTCAGAGGATTTCTTTTTAGGGAAATGAATGAGTCTAAGAGAAAATATTTTCAGATGCTAACATATGGGGTTGTTTCCCACACTGTCAAGTTCCCAACCCAATAACCCTACACTGAACCCAACCAGGAAACACACAGTTTACAAGTAGCTTTTTGGAGTCTCATTGGTAAATATTGAAAGAAATGTCATTGGTCATAAGACGCTTGAGAGGCCTCCAACATGAAATACAGAGAACAAAACTAACGAACACAGACGAGAAGAAACTCGGAAGACAGACAATGCAAACAGAAGAAGAAAACAAACCACCATCAAAACAAAGTAAAATCCTGTATATTTAATATCATCACATATAAAAGAAGATACTGTATATGTTAAATGAGTAAATAATTCTGGTTAAAAATATTCAGAGAATAAGTAAGAACTCATGGAAATTACAAATATTATAGCAATAATAAAAGTTCAACAGAAGCACTGGATAAAAGTTGAGAAATTTTAAGAAAAATATAACAAGATGAGAAACAAAAATAGAAAAGATACAAGGTTTAGAGAACTAATAGGAGCTCTGGGATTAACAGTCTGACTAATAAGAGTTCTAAAAAGAGAATACTGAAAAAAAATTATCAAAAGAATAATATAAGAATAGTTTCCAAAATTGGATGACACAAATTTCTAGACTGAATGGACCAGCACAGTGAATGAAAACAGACTAACACAAGGCACATTGTGATTAAAATTTCGGAGTTCAAAGTTTACACAGACAAAACCATAACTTTCAATAGAATAAAAGTTGATCAATCATAAAGAATTAAGAATCAGAATGACATTAATATTCTGAGAGTAATTCTGAAATTAGATGTCAATGGAGAAATGCCTTCAAAATCCTAAGGAAAATGGTTTCAACTTAGATTTTAAGACTTAGACAAACTATCAATCAAGTTTATGGGCAGAATAAAGCCTTTTCAACATTTAAAAACTCTAAAAAAGAAAATTACCTCCCATGCCCCCTTTTTTTTGCAGGAAGCTATTGGAGAATACACATCTTCAAAATGAGGAGAAATACAAGAAAAGGAAGACAAGAATTCAAGAAGCCGGGCATCCAACAATAATAACTAAAGAGGCAGGGTAGTTCTCAGGATGATGTAACAGAAAGTCCAGATTGGTGAAAGACAATGAAGAACTACAAGAGGTTTGTACTCCGAAAAGAAGAAGGAAAAAAGTGGAATTCACAGTTTGTCTAAAGTTTTTGATCATGTTTCAAGGAAGTATATGGTTCTGTGCAAAGTTAGCAAAAGGTACATTTAAAAAAATGAGAAAAAAAACAAAATCAGGCAACTACCAACTAAAAGAAGTATAAGGAATTTGGTACAAAAAAGGAAATTAATTATGCACTACATGCTAACTTGTTAACAATTTTTACATAGTACCAATACGATAAATACAATGTTAATTTCAAACTGCAATTAATTATGCTGGAAGGATGTGGGAAGTGGGAGTGTTAAGAGAGTTAAATTATAATCTTCATAACAGGAAGTCAACAGATAATACTTACTGAATATTTCTACTTTTTGGAGGGATGTTGGGTTGGGGAGCTACTGTTTCATTTCCTTAAAATACTATTTGGCTTTTTAAATTGCCTGTGCACATGCATACACATACATAATCTAAAGTTAAATTTTTAAAACCACATATAAAAAGCCATGTGGGAAAAGAATTATTGTGAATGCTTAGTAGAAGAATGTAGGCACAGCACATAATACAATGTTGATACGCAACAGAGTATTAATAAAGTCCCCAAGATTTGCCCGCTTGGGATAGTCTTAGTAACAAAAGTTAATCTTGTTAATAAAACAGTCAACAAATATATAAATCCTTACTCATCAGTCCCTAGTAAAGTTTTCCAAGTGTTGTGGAAGATATAAAGAAATATGAAACATAATCCTTACATTAAAATACCGTTAATAACAGTTATGGCAGTTAATATTTAATTGGTGTTAAATGTACAGTAGGTACTGTCCCAAGTTCTTTACATATTATCTCTTTTAATTCTATGAGATAGACACTATTATCTCCATTTTATCATATAAATGAGGAAACTGAGGCACACTAAAATGAAGTAACTTGTCCAGGTCATAGAGCTCATATAAAGAGGGAGGTAGGATTCCAATCCAAGCAGAAGGCTTGGGAGTCTCAAATTGCTTTATAATCTAATTGAGGGGGAGAAGAAACAGAGCTAAACAACCTCATATGATTTAAGGAGCAGTTCAACATAATCCTGGAAGAGATGTCACAAACAAACGCAAGCATATTTTAGGGGAAATTGCTGTATTACACTAGGAGCTCAGAAGAGAGCGCAAACGCTTCAGATTGATAGCCAAGGAAACATTTAATTGGATCAGCTGGGTGGGGAGGGCATTCCTTGTAAGTGAATCAACATGCAGAGGTGGTAACCATAGCATGCCAGGGATCGGCGAGGATAGCACATTTTGTTCATCCAGAAATAAAACCTGTGAGAGCAAAGCAGGAAAGGCCTAATATCAAATTATACATGGCCTTGAAAGTAGACTAAGCAGCTTGGACTTTATTTTGTGAAAACGGGAAGTGATTGCTGAGCACGTGAAGTTAATCTGGACATTGAACATATAATCAACTGACAGGAAGAGAATAAGTAATGGCTTATTGCGGCAGTCTGGATAAGATTTATCAAAATCTCAAACTAGCCTGGGGTGAGGGTAGAATTGGCTGGATCCTGGATGAGAAGTCCCACAAGGACTTACAGAAACAATTTGCATTTTATCTTTCTACCAAGGAGAAAAGTTTTTCAAACTACAAAGGCTAGATATAATTAAAAGGAAATCAAATTTCAAAAAGTTCAAGTAAGAGTATCTGCTTTGAAAAAATGAGTTTCTAAGTTTCAACAAGTTACAAAACAGCATAATCAAATACTTAACTATTATGATTATGAATCGGCTGGCAGGACTTCTTTTAAAATGAAAGTAAAGCTTTCTAGATGTAACAATAAAGCATGCTCAATGTGGAAAAATATATAAAGAAAAAAATCAGTAAACTTATTCCAATACCCTTAGTTTGGTTATTTTTTTTTTTAATCTTTTCTATGAATAACTTTGTTTCCATGTTAATACAGTTACAACTGATCATCATAATATATATAGAAGATATAATTTTCTTCTTGCTTAAACATTTTAATAAAACATTTTTCAGTTTTTTCTTTGAATAACTTTGTTTCCGTGTTAATACAAAGTTACAATTGAATTTTCTTCAGGCTTACACTTTTTTTTTTTTTTTTTTTTTTTTGAGATGGGTTCTCGCTCTATCACCCAGGCTAGACTGCAGTGGCGTGATCTTGGCTCACTGCAAACTCCGCCTCCCAGGTTCACACCATTCTCCTGCCTCAGCCTCCCCAGTAGCTGGGACTACAGGCGCCCACCACAACGCCCGGCTAATTTTTCTGTATTTTTAGTAGAGACAGGGTTTCACCGTGTTAGCCAGGATGGTCTCGATCTCCTGACCTCGTGATCCGCCCACCTCAGCCTTCCAAAGTGCTGGGATTACAGGCGTGAGCCACCGTGCCCGGCCTTGCTTAAACATTTTAATAAAGCATTTCATATTCCATTACAAATTTATATGTATACATAACTAATAATTGCATAATATTTAATAATGTATGTATATGTACTAAAAGGTTTTTAACCATTCCCGTGTAGTTGGATATTTAAGCACATTCTAAATTCTCTGTTTACATAAGCCTAGTATCTCTTTGCTCAAAATCAATTTTCTGTATTGTGGATTACCTCCTCAGGCCAGTTTTCTAGCTAGAAATCCTAAGAAAAACAATGGAGAATGAAAGAAGTAAACAGTTTAAACACAACTTCTATTTAAGAGGGCATAAAATGGTTAAATTGCAAAACCTTAGTGAGTCACCAGAGTGATTATTTTTAACCACACTGTCCCTGAAGGACAGCTGATAATAATATATGGGAAGTAACTATAGTGTAGAAAATATCTAAGCAGGCATAACTAGTGTTTAGTAATTAACATCAGAATGACATTATAGTTTTTATTTTTTTTTATTTTTTGAGACAGAGTCTCACTCTGTCACCCAGACTAAAGTGCACTGGCGCAATCTTGACTCACTGAAACCTCTGCCTCCCAGGTTAAAGCAATTCTCCTGCCTCAGCCACCTGAGTAGCTGGGACTACAGGCGCCCACCACCATGCCCAGCTAATTTTTGTATTTTTAGTAGAGACGGGGTTTCACCATATCGGCCAGGCTGGTCTCAAACTCCTGACCTTGTAATCTGCCCACCTTGGCCTCCCAAAGTGCTGGGATTACAGGCATGAGCCACTGCACCTGGCCATAGAATGACATTATAGTTACATCTACACTTGAATGCATTTTATATTGCATTTAAATTTATTTACATGTATTTTAACTTAACTAGTAAAATAGACTTAACTGGTAAAATTCTGAAGCATGGATATAATTATTCTCTTAATGCATCTTATTCTTTTAAATTTCTGAATTAATGGAATCTGTAGAATTATTACAAAGATATATCTGAGCCAGTTATATTACTGAAATCACCTTTGCAAAAATTGTAACAGTGAGAAAAATGTGACATAGGAAAATTATGACAGTGAAGGAAATCTGACCTAACCAACTCCATCTTGGTTCTAACCTCCAAGCTGTCCTTGTTCATTCCTGGGTGCAGGCTGAACTAACTTGGAGAGGAATTTAGCTTACGGTTTAACTTCGAAACAAAGATGATAACAGCCTTCCCCAAAACAAACCCCCTTGTTTGGGGGCCAGATTGCCTTTGTAAAACTAACAAAATTAGCCACAAGATTAGGAATTATGGAGTCATGTAACCAGAGATCACAAGATTCCTAACCTCCTCAATTGCTCTGATAGATAACATTACTATTGTAAAACCTAAGATTGGTGTTCGAAGCATTTTTCAGACCCTGCATTCTGATAGACCAGCTGGTGCCACCCAGACTGGTAAATTGGCTCATCTGGTTTTGTGGCCCCCACCCAGGAACTGACTTAATGCAAGAGGACAGCTTGGACTCCCTGTGATTCCATCCCTGACCCAACTTATCACCATTCCCCATTCCCTAGCCCCCTGCCCGCCAAACTGTCTTTTAAAAACCCTAGCCTCTGAACTTTTGGGGAGGCTGATTTGACTAACAATAAAACTCCAGTCTCCCATTTAGCCAACTCTGCATGTATTAAACTTTGTCTACTGTAATTCCCATCTGGATAAATCAGCTCCATCTGGACAGTGGGCAAGAAGAATCTGTTGGGCAGTTACATTACCCACTGACAAAGTAAAAATCAGTGGGTGAGCAGACCAAATACACAACACCCTTAAAAATATGGTGCTTGCAGGGATCTGCTTTTTATCTTGTAGTTTATTGTGAAGTGTGGGTGGTGTGATGGGCCAAGCACAAAACTTGCAGACAGCTGATGATGTGGGTTCATGCTTTACCCTGATTATTATTAAGTGTTTGACTTTGGACTTGTTAGAGAATCGCTGAAATTCATTTAGAAATTAATAACAACACCTATCTCACAGAGTGGATCTGAGGATTAAGTGAGATATTAGTGAAAAACACTCCAGAGATGATAAGTGCTACCTTCATCTAAATTGTTGCTGTCATTATTTCTGTCTGCCATGTTATCCTGGCACAAGATTTAGTGGGGATTCATTGAGCAGGTGAGAGGTGATGTGGAAAAGATTCGTAAAATTACCTCATTAGCTCTGAGAACCTATCACTAGCTCTTCAGATGGAGCAGTGAGAACAGGCTGGGATCAAACAGTATGGAGAACAGAATCTCCTTGATTCTCCTTTCATGGGAAATTGTATCAGAAGTTCCTGTGGATGGCTTGGTAATTGGTGAGCATTCTGATTCAACACTGTGCTTCTCAGAATATAGTAAACAACCAAGGTTATACTATCCACATCAAATGGTTAATGCAATATGCTTATAATTGTTTTGTGATTTTGCCAATTTTCTCATATATATAACAACTCAGTGTTTTGCAAGTCAGCAAAGCCCATCAATGTTGTTCTTTATGGGCTCAAATTATTTCACATCCATAGTTAACACTATTTCAAACTGACTGACAAAATTAGGGGGCAAAATGAGAAAAGGTGTATTTAGTTGTGCTATTCTTGACACATAACCCAGTTGATTCACTGTTGCCAAAGCCCACCAACTCCACATCTGAAACCTTTGATTCTACTTTATGATTTTTAATCAACTTCATTGAGGTATAATTTACATAAAACAAATGGAAACATTCAAATTATCCAGTTTCATGAGTCTTCACAAATGTATACAGCATGTAACCACTACACCAATAAATATATAGAACATTTTCCCCCAAATGTTCCCTTTTGCCATTTTGCAGTAAATTCTCCTACCCTCTTGCACTCCCCACTCCAGACAGTCATTACTTTGATTTCTATCATCATAAGTTGATTTCACTTGTTCTGGAACTTCATATAAATGATATCATATAATATCCACTCTATGTGCCTAGTTTCCTCTGCTCAGCAAGTTTTTTAAATTCATCCCTATTGTGTGTATCATTAATTTGTTCCTTTTTAATGTGAAGTAGTTTTCATTGTATGGAAGTGCCACAATTTATTTAACCATTCAGCGATTTATGAATTGTTTCCAGCTTGTAGCTGTTGAAATAAAGCTGCTATAAACATTTATGTACAAATCTTTGTAGACATTTTTATTTTCCCTAGGTCCATACTTGGAAATATAAGGTCATATGGTAAGTGTCTGTTATGTAAGAAGTTACTGAAGTATTTTCCAAATTGGTTTTTTTCCATGCAAACCCTGACACACACACAAACAAACCTTGACATAATTATTATAGACCTTTGGGCTGAATGGACTAAGTGACATCAAAATGAGGCCACGTGCTTTGGAAACATAAGGGGGAAAGTATGTCACAGAAGTAGTAGAGGAGGTGATATCAGATGGGGGCATTGAGAAAACAGAAGTGTTTTCAATAAAACCTGCAATTATTGTTTTTCTGAAGTAAATTACCTTCTTCATAGCAGAACATTTGGCTATATGAAAAAGTAAAATTTATCCGAGAGAAATGATCGTCATTTAGGTAAATGGAGTTTTGACATCTGAAAAACATCTGAAAGAACAGTGCTAGGAAAATACTCACCAATGAACACTTTAAGATCAATGAACCCTTTAGTCTTCATTATGCACCAACAAATGAAAGGTAACATGTAGAGTGGATGGAACATAATTTTAAATCTCCCCAGACCTGGTTCAATTTTGCTTGGCTTTGCCATCTGTATTGTTTTATCCAATCATTTTCCCCTCTGAACCTGTCCCAACATGTGCAACTGGAAGTAATAATAGTTTACTCATGGCATTGCTGGATGGTTAACCAAGGTTAAGTCTCAAAGTGAGAGTATCAGTGGAAGGTGATCCCTTCAATGTGAATTTCTTCTTTCTTCCTTCCTTACCCTTGTGCAATTCTAATACGCTTAAATTGTAAATCTGCTTCTTAACTTGCAAGCTGATAAATCAAGGGAAACAAACTGCAGATGGGACTACAGTGGAGGTAAAGAATCCAATGTTTAAACAATTCTGAATCTTGGTAAATGACCTAATCTTTGCTAAAGGAAAAATACTACTGGGTGGGGAAAGAATAAGGAAAACAACTCAATGATCTCCACATTGCTAATATATGAGAATTTTCTATTGTTTTTACAGAATTTTAAAACTGTATGTCATGACATGACTATTTTTATGGATTTCATGAAAAGTGTCCAAGTCTTGTTACAGGAAACATTCATTCATGTCACCCATGATCATTCATTATTGCTAATATTTATTGAGTACTGTGTGCCAAGCAATGGACCAAATGCTTTACATACACTATTTCCTTTATTCCTCACAAAACCCCATGAGGTAATATCATTACACCTGTTTTATAAGTGAGAAATTTGTGTTTCAGAGCGGTTGGGTGCTGGACCACACTCTCACATGTACACACACTCTCACATGCTCACACAC